CATATCTCCGGCCGACAATGGAATACGCGATCCAAGCCTGGTCTCCATGGCTGCAAAAGGATACACAACTGCTAGAGCGTATCTACCACCGCGCGACCAAGCTGGTCATTGGCCTCCGAAACGTTCCCTACAGTGAAAGGCTACGTAAACTCGATTTGTTTGATTTAACTTATCGGCGTATACGAGGAGACCTCATCCTGATGTTCAAGATAATAAGCACCCCTAATCACCCTTTAAAACATTTGTTCACAGTTAATTTGGCCCGACAGACCCGACGGAATCCATTGGTCGTTGACATTCCATGTCCCCGCATTAACTGTCGGCGCTACTTTTTTTCAGTCCGCGTATCCCTCACGTGGAACAAACTACCAACATCTGTTGTGGATTGCGGTAACCTCGAGACTTTCAAACATTCGCTTGACGAATACATAAGATCTCACCCAACTTCCCTCATCAACATTTGAGATGCAGATTACAAACAATAGAACATATATGTCATATCATTCCGTTTATCTGTATCCATACACACACACCAATATCCTTTGGTCATTGTAAAGCAAAATGCTTTTTAGACCAATATAACCTTGATTTACCTTGATTTACGTCCCGCTTCCAGAACTTTACTCAGAACTCTCAATGTCCTCAAACGATAAGTTCCTATTGGCTTACTGCACTTTTCGCATTGTGTCTATTTTTATCAAGTGCACCTTACCTTATTTATTCCCAACTAGCATATTGTCAGACATGATCATAGTATTACAGTCAGAATAAAAGCATGACTGATGAGGGTTTTGAATAATGGGAATTTCCTGAGAAAAGGACGGTGACTTGGACAGTATTCATTAACGAAGTAGACTTGATCACACCTGAGGTGGCATGGGTGGGGACCTAAAATTACAAGGACTCTTTATCTCCCTATGGAGAACATACCAGATGACACACGATCTGATCACTGGGATTTTAAAGTTGCAGGCAAAAACAAATATGAGTGAGGGTACAACAAAAGGATCCCTGTCTAGAATGTGACAAAAAACAAAAAGGCCTGAAACTTCAGGAAATGTGGAGCCAGAATAATGGATCTGGAGGGGCAGCAGAACTGCCACGACATGGCCGGCCAATTCGAACTAAAGCACAAAACCGTCACTAGGGCTTCATGGCCTCGGGCTGTTGGGCGTATGGTCACGGAAAGCGTACGTGTGGGTGGTGAAGTGGGGTAATATGCAGTATGGACAAATGGTAGTGGGAAACTCAGAATCACAGTGTGTAGCAAAAATTGAGCGACTCACTAGTGTTGCTGCTGGCGCAGGGTCGACTGTAAAAGTTACTTGGGAGAACGAGTTCACGCAAACTGTACGAAAATTGACTAACTAGGTGAAAAGTACGGATGAAAGTCGCCGAGACCTTTGCACCCGACAGAAGGTTCGGCAGACTGCAATGAACGCCTCCCGGTGGTGGCTGGTGACAAATAAGGACTGATTGTGGACGCCGGTAAGGGAATGAGTGGGGGAGGGTGCGGACAAACAGGAAGTGAACAATTGCAAGTGTGCTATCAAACTGGGTATTACAGTGCCGTACCGTCACTGCACTTAGATACTTCGGTTTCCAGACATCCCCGTAACGGACTTCGCGATTGGGGTAGTTAGGCTGAAATGCGCAGTTCAGTGACCAGCGGGGTGTTGTGCATTTTTCGGAGGATTTCTCAGGGTGAGCAAAACCAATGTACTATCGCGCGCAGTATTCGTTGTTGTTTTTTTCAGTCGTTCGTAAGCACAAATCAGGTGGAGGGAACAACGGCCAAACAGACCGTCCATAGCGCATATTACCACGGGTCGAAGCTTGGGAAGAAGATGAAATGAGATGAGATCAATAAAGTCTGGAGAGTTATAGGGGTCATCAGACAAGATTTAGTCCGTTAATAGGGAGAAAATGAATGCCTACCAAGTGGATTATTTGTTGTGGACGAGTATCTACTGTTGATGTTTGTCTGTTTTGTGAATTCATGTCTTACGCTTAGATTATCGTACGGAAACTTAGCTCCGTCTTTAATTTGCCTCCTCGGAGGTTCTGGTAATACGCGACACTCGAAGATACCGGTTAATCAGCACACAATTTTAGACCTGAGACAGCTTAACCTAAGCCAAGGGCAAGAGACTTATATCGAATGCCACATTTTTCGACTTCCTTAAAGTTCTCAAAAGCGTTTGATAAGGTCCCAGACGCCCCGCTGCCCTACCAACTCGAGTTTTACGGGATTAAAGGGGGAAACATACTGGATCAAGGTGTCCCTATCAGACCGATTATTCCGAGTGAAAGTATGTTCTATCTTCTCTTATCTAATGCCGGTCTTCCTTGGAGATCATCAGGACTCCTTTCTGGGACCACTGCTGTTTCTGATCTACGTCAACGACCTCCCAGATGCTCCAAGATGGCAAGTTTACTTTTTGCGGACGACTTGAAATCTTGGAGTTCCAAGGCCACTGCCCTGCAAACAGATGTAAATGCTGCAAAGCAGCAGTCCTTGGACATCCATCTTCCTCTGAATGAAGAAAAGTGCGTCCATATGTCGTTTTGAGGGGAAGCAGCGAATGCCTTTGTCATGCATTGTGAGAAAAGACCAGAAAACATCATGAGGATAGATCCCAAAAAGGATAATAATAATAATAAT